CCTGCTGTTTACCTCCTAGTGTCCATGCGTTCTTGTGTAGCTCCCGCTTATAACTAAGAACATGCAGTATTTAATTTTCTGTTCCTTCATTGGTTTGCTTAGAATAATGGTCCTGGCTCCATCTATATTGCTGCAAAAGACATGACCTATTTTTTATGGCTGCATAGTATTCCATGGTACATATGTAACCAGATTTTCTATCATTATTTTTATTATTGTTGTTGAGATGGAGTTTTTCTCTTGTTGCCCAGCCTGGAGTGTAATGTGCGATCTTAGCTCATGGCAACCTCTGCCTCTTGGGTTCAAGCAATTCTCCTGCCTCAGCCTTCCAAGTAGCTGGGATTACAGGCATGCACCACCATGCCCAGCTAAATTTGTATTTTTAGTAGAGAAGGAGTTTCTCTATGTTGTCAGGCTGGTCTCAAACTCTCGACCTCAGGTGATCTGCCTGCCTCAGCCTCCCAAAGTGTTGGAATTACAGATGTGAGCCACTTCACCCGGTTTTTTTCTTTTCTTTCTTTTATTTTTTTTTCCTTTCTTTTTCTTTTTCTTTCTTTTTTTTGAGACAGAATCTCACTCTGTTGCCCAGGCTGGAATATAAATGGCACCATCTTGGCTCACTGTGACCTCTGCCTCCTGGGTTCAGATGATTCTTGTGCCTCGGCTTCCCTAGTAGCTGTGACTACAGGTATGTCCCACCATACTTGGGTAATTATTTTTTTATTTTTTTATTTTGAGACAAGGTTTTACTCTTGTCAGCCAGGCTGGAGTGCAATGGTGTAATCTTGGCTCACTACAACCTCCGTCTCCCAGGTTCAGGCAATTCTCCCACCTCAGCTTCCCGAGTAGCTGTGATTTCAGGTGTGCACCACCATGCCCAGCTAACTTTTATATTTTTAGTAGAGACAGGTTTCACCATGTTGGCCAGGCTTGTCTCGAACTCCCGACCTCAGGTGATCTACCTCCCTCAGCTTCCCAAAGCACTGGGATTACAGGAGTGAGCCATGGCACCCAACCCACGTCTTCTTTTTCCAGTTGATTTAGGTTGATTCCATGTCTTCACTATTGTGAATAGCACTGCAATGAACATATGAGTGCATGGATATTTATAATAATAACCTATATTCCTTCTGGTATACACCTAGTAGTGGGATTGCTGGGTCGAATAGTAGCTCTATTTTAAGTTCTTTGAGGAATTGCCACGCTGCTTTCCACAATGGCTGAACTAATTTGCACCTCCACCAGCAGTATGTAAGTGTTCCTTTTCTTCACAACCTCACCAGCATCTGTTATTCTTTAACTTTTTTATTTTATTTATTTTATTTTTTTTATTTTTTATTTTTTGAGATGGAGTTTTGCTCTTGTCACCCAGGCTGGAGTGCAATGGCGCGATCTCGGCTCACCGCAACCTCCGCCTCCTGGGTTCAGGCAATTCTCCTGCCTCAGCCTCCTGAGTAGCTGGGATTACAGGCACGTGCCACCATGCCCAGCTAATTTTTTGTATTTTTAGTAGAGACGGGGTTTCACCGTGTTGATCAGGTTGGTCTCGATCTCTCGACCTTGTGATCCACCCTCCTCGGCCTCCCAAAGTGCTGGGATTACAGGCTTGAGCCACCGCGTCCGGCTTATTTTTATTTTTTTGAGACAGAGTCCCACTCTGTGGCCCAGGCAGGAGTGCAGTGGCATGATCTTGGCTCACTCTTGGCCTCCTGGGGTCAAGTGATTCTTGTGCCTCAGCCTCCTGAGTAGCTGAGATTACAGGCACCCACAACAATGCCCAGCTAATTTTTGTATTTTTAGTAGAGACGTGGTTTTACCATGTTTGCCAGCCTGGTCTTGAATTCCTGACCTCAGGTGATCCTCCCGCCTTGGCCTCCCAAAATGCTGGGATTACAGGCATGAGCTACCACACCGGCCACCAAACTCCCCCATTTTTTTTTATTTTTTATTTTTCTTTTTGATACAGAGTTTTGCTCTGGTTGCCCAGGCTGGAGTGCAATGGCAAGATCTCAGCTCACTGCAACCTCCACCTCCAGGGTTCGAGCAGTTCTCTTGCTTCAGCCTCCCAAGTAGCTGGGATTACAGGCATGCACCATCACACCCAGCTAAATTTGTATTTTTAGTAGAGACAGGGTTTCTCCATGTTGGTCAGTCTGGTCTCGAACTCCCACCCTCATGTGGTCTGCTACCTCGGCCACCCGAAGTGCTGGGATTACAGGCATAAGCCACTGTGCCTGGCCTACTCACCTTTTTTAAACCTAAGTAGTAGCATACTACATACACAGGTCTGCATTTGCTTTTTTCACTTAACTATATACATTTGAGGTCTTCTGATAACTGTACCTAAAGAGCTTCCCTGGTTTCTTTTTGAAAGTTGAATAGCATCCTATATAGGATGAAATAGTCATACTTTATTTCACCAGCCCCCGCTGATGGACAATTAGGTTGGTTCCAAGCTTTTGCTGCCACTTATACCTCCAATGAAAACATAAGACTACCACATTGTTTTCTTTAAGGGGTCATAAACAGAGTTGAAAGACATTAGTACATTTTTCTTGCTGTCCATCTACTAGAAATATATAAAATATAATAATAGGCCGGGCGCGGTGGCTCAAGCCTGTAATCCCAGCACTTTGGGAGGCTGAGGCGGGTGGATCACCAGGTCAAGAGATCAAGACCGTCCTGGTCAATATGGTGAAACCCCATCTCTACTAAAAATACAAAAAAAAGTAGCTGGGCATGGTGGCACATGCCTGTAATCCGAACTACTCAGGAGGCTGAGGCAGGAGAATTGCCTGAACCCAGGAGGCGGAGGTTGCGGTGAGCCGAGATCGCGCCATTGCACTCCAGCCTGGGTAACAAGAGCGAAACTCCGTCTTAAAAAAAAAAAAAAAAAATATATATATATATATATATATATATATATATATATAAAATAATATAGAATGTGATCAGAAGGTGATTTCAAGGGATTGGGAAGAATCCTGTGTGACTGTGGCCAATATTGGCCATTTTGACCATCGTTGTAGTTTATGTTAAAAATAATTAACATTTGCCGGGCGCGGTGGCTCAAGCCTGTAATCCCAGCACTTTGGGAGGCTGAGGCAGGTGGATCACGAGGTCAAGAGATCGAGACCATCCTGGTCAACATGGTGAAACCTCATCTCTACTAAAAATACAAAAAATTAGCTGGGCATGATGGCACGTGCCTGTAATACCAGCTACTCAGGAGGCTGAGGCAGGAGAATTGCCTGAACCCAGGAGGCGGAGGTTGTGGTGAGCCGAGATCGTGCCATTGCACTCCAGCCTGGGTAACAAGAGCGAAACTCCGTCTCAAAAAAAAAAAAAAAAAAAAAATTAACATTTGCACAGAGCCATAGACTCTTAGAGTAATTCCATACTTATGTTATTTGACCTACATTGATCCAGCAAATGAGACGGGAATGTATTATCATTTCTGTTTTACAGATGAAATGCAAAGAGGTTAAGTGACTTGTCTGAGAGCTAAGTAGATAGGAGTTGAATTCCAGTTGTCTGACTTGATGTCTAGTATAAAGACAGCTAAGCAACTACTATGATTTAGCTATGTAATGTAACTCTTTAGAGCCCACCCCTTGCAAGCTCTGTGTCATAGTTTTTATAGTGGTTGCTTAAAACTAAAGCCAAGCTTTTCAGTGGCAATGATTGAAGTTGCTAAATGTAATCATGACTCTCAAGAAAGTTATATTTTAACTTTTTAAGATCTAGGTTTTTTTACTGTTGTTTTAAGACAGGGTCTCACTCTGTCATCCAGGCTGGAGTGCAGTGATGTGATCTCAGCTCACTGCAACCTCCGCCTCCCAGGTTCAAGCAATTCTCTTGCCTCAGCCTCCCAAGTAGCTGGGATTACAGGCATGCCCCACGATGCCTGGGTAATTTTTGTATTTTTAGTAGAGATGGGGGTTTCACCATGTTGGCCAAGCTGGTCTCGAACTGCTGACCTCAGGCGATCAACCCACCTCAGCCTCCCAAAGTTCTGGGATTAAAGGCATGAGCCACTGGGCCTGGCCCTAGTTGTCTAAAACTTTGAACAGGTTTTAAAATATATATATCCTGTTGGTCTACTGTGGATCAATCTAAAGATATTTGCTAAGGATCTGATCCCATGTAATATCTTACACATTGGGTACAGATTAGGTCAGCACCTAGTTCTTAGATTCCTACTCCGTTATTTCACTAAATGAATATTTAATTATACTCAGCGAATATTTTATTTATGCTTACTAGGCAGGGTAGCAGGAGATGTAGCTCTAACATCTAGTAACATATTTTACTAAACAGATCACAGGCTGGGTAACAAAAGCAAGACCCCCTCTCTACAAAAAATATGAAAAAATAGCCAGGTGTGGTGGTGCATGCCTGTGGTCCTACCTACTTGGGAGACCCAGGCAGAAGGATCTCTTAAGCCCAGGAGTTTCAGGCTGCAGTGAGCTGTGATCTTGCTACTGCACTCCAGCCTGGGTGACAGGGTGAGATTCTGTCTCTAAAACGAAAACAATAGCCGGGCATGGTGGCACACACCTATAGTCCCAGCTACTCAGGAGACTGAGGCAGGAGAATTGCATGAACCCAGGAGGCGGAGATTGCAGTGAGCCGAGATGGTGCCACTGCACTCCAGCCTGGGTGACAGAGTAAGACTACGTCTCAAAAAAATAAATAAATGAAATAAAATAAAACAAAAACGAAAACAAGAGCAGATCAGACATACCAGTTTTATGGTTCTTAGTGCTTTGGGTGGAGCTTTGCCTTGGTTGGAGGAATTCTAGAGACATCTCTACAACTGATTGCTGAACAGGGACTAGTGTAGCCCTCCTGCTCCCTTATCCACAGGGGATACGTTCAGAGCCTGAAACTGTCTGTAGTACCGAACCTCATCGCCATCAAGCGGAACACATTTCTGTTTATGACTTCCACCCCCACATTTTAATGGTTTTTTTTCTTTTTTATTTTATTTTATTTTTTTAAATATGGAACGCTTCATGAATTCGCGCATGATCCTTGCGCAGGGGCCGTGCTAATCTTTGTATCATTCCAATTTTTTTAGCATATGTGCTGCCTAAGCGAGCACGGGTTTTTTTTTTTTTTTCTCTTATCTAAGCACTTATCACACACTGTTGTCATGAGCTTTGCAGTTTGAGATGCAACAACAAAACTTAGCATGAATTTCTTATTCTTTCTTCACTATCTGAGGGGTATAAGATTCCTTCTTACTGGCTGGGCATAGTGGTTCACGCCTGTAATCCAAGCACTTTGGAGGCCAAGGCGGGCGGATCACCTGAAGTCAGGAGTTCAAGACCAGCTTGACCAACATGGTGAAACCCTGTCTTAAAAAAAAAAAAAGATTCCTTACTGCAGATGTTAGCAACCTCAAAATACAATGGTTTCCTCTTATTAAGTTGAGAACTTTCACCTTTTCATTTAGAAGAAGCACTTCCGGCTTCTCTTTGACTTTTTTTTGTTTGTTTGTTTTTTTAAACGACGGAGTCTTGCTCAGTCACCTAGGCTGGAGTGCAGGGGTGTGATCTAGGCTCACTGCAACCTCTACCTCCCTGGTTCAAGCGATTTTCCTGCCTGTAGCTGGGATTACAGGCCCACGACACCATACCTAGCTAATTTTTGTATTTTTAGTAGAGATAGGGTTTTGCTATGTTGTCCAGGCTGGTCTCAAACTCCTGACCTCAGGTGATCCGCCCACCTCGGCTTCCCAAAGTGCTGGGATTACAGGCCTTCTCTGGTATTTTTGAATTGCTGGCCTCACTACTCTTGTGCTTTACGGCCATTATTAAGTAAAATAAGGGTTACTGGAGCACAAGCTCTGAGATACTCAACACCTTATCACCCAGAGGGCTACTAAGTGGCCAGAAGGAAGGGACAGGGACTCTACAGTGTAGATACGCTGGACAAAGGGAGGATTCACATTCTGGGCAAGACACAGCAGGACAGCAGAACTAATCACACTACTCAATGGGGTGCAATTTAAACTTATGAATTATTTATTTCTGGAATATTCCATTTAATATTTTTGGGCTGCTGTTGACTTTGAGTAACTGAAACCACGGAGAAGCAGGCACTACTGTGGTTTTGAGTACAGGCATTGTCAGTAATAGTCCAGTCTCATTCCTTTGGGTAGGGAAATTGGAGAAGCAGCTACAGTCCCAGGTTGGAAATCACTTAAATTCTTCTTCAAAATTTGTGTATTTAACTATTTCAAGGATCCCTTCAAATGCAATTATCTTAGGCAGGTGGGGCAGTTCAGGCTAAATGGCCCTGACCCCACACCCTCCTATCCCATTGCGTTATTTAGGTGGCTGCCTCTTGTTTTTTTCTTTTTCTTTTCTAGTTTCACTCTTGTTGCCCAGGCTGGAGTGCAATGATACAATCTCAGCTCTCTGCAACCTCCATCTCCCGGGTTCAAGTGATTCTCCTGCCTCCCGAATAGCTGCCTCTTGATTTTCTACCTGCAACAAGTAAGCTTGGGAGGAATGAGGAAGAAAGACAGCTAGAGGCTCTTGAGGCCCAGCAAAGTGTCCTGGCTATCCTTTCGTGCATTGCATTGTTAGAGCAATAGCTGCATTTACTCAGTTATCTGCAGCATGTGATTTAAAAAGGCATCATACCAATATTGTTATATCTTGTATTTAATTATTAACCAGCAGAGATGCTACAGTTTTTATATTGATTTTAAGTGGGAAGTCACGGTGACATATAAAACTCCTTTTCAGGCCACGTATAGTGGCTCACGCCTGTAATCCCAGCACTTTGAGAGGCTGAGGCGGGCAGATCCCCTGAGGCAGGAGTTCAAGACCAGCCTGGCCAACATGGCGAAATCCTGTCTCTACTAAAAATAAGAAAATTGGTCGGGCATGGTGGTGGGCACCTGTAATCTCAGCTACTCGGGAGGCTAAAGCAGGAGAATCCCTTGAACCTGGGAGGCGGAGGCAGAGGTAGAGGTTTCAGTGAGCTGCATTCCACCGTGGGCCACAAAGCAAGACTGTCTCAAAAAAAAAAAAAAGGCAGCAGGGCACAGTGGCTCATGCCTGTATTCTCAGCACTTTGGGAGGTGAGGCAGGTGGATCAGCTGAGGTCGGGAGTTCAAGACAAGCCTGACCAACATGGAGAAACCCTGTCTCTACTAAAAATACAAAATTAGCCAGGCATGGTGGTGCATGCCTGTAATCCCAGCTACTTGGGAGGCTGAGGCAGAAGAATCACTTGAACCCAAGAGGCAGAGGTTGCAGTGAGCTGATCGTGCCATTGCACTCCAGCCTGGGCAACAAGAGCAAAACTCCATCTCAAAAAACAAACAAACAGAAAAACAAAAAAACTGTCTCCTTCCCCTTTTCCCATAAATCTTGGGGCAAATTAATCATAGCCATACCTACAAATTGGTGGGATGTGTGTACCCTTCAGTATAGCCACTTTTCAGTTTTCCAGATTAACCAAGGGAAACCTGCTCCATAGTTTGTGATACAAATGTGAGGGAGGAGCTTGGGTTTGGGGTTGACCGGCTCTGGGATGAGGGGGTAATAGCTTTTCTACTGGCTTTGTGCGGGTTTTCTATTCTAAGTAAAGATAATCTCTATTTGGACTATACAACCTTTGTCCCAAAGACAAAGGCTAATTAGGCGTTAGATTTTTTAAAACAAAGAAAGATTCTCTGAGATCATCAGCCTCCAGAGGACTAGGGAATATCATCCGTCCAAATTATTTAGGTGACTTTTTTTTTGGTTTATTCTTTTCATCTTCCTTCACCCTTAAAAAAAAATCCGTATCACTTTGCCTTGTCCAAAATCCCTCCAGTCAGGCCTCATGATGTTCATCTTTTTTTTTTTTTTTTTTTTTTTTTTTTAAGACAGAGTCTCGCTCTGTCACCCAGGCTTAAGTACGGTGGTGCAATCTCAGCTCATTGCAACCTATGCCTCCCAGGTTCAAGCAATTCTCCCGTCTCAGTCTCCTGAATAGCTGAGACTACAGGCACCTGCCACCAAGCTCTGCTAATTTTAGTAGATACGGGGTTTCACCATGTTGGTCAGACTAGTCTCGAACTCCTGACCTCAGGTGATCCACCTGCCTAGGCCTCCCAAACTGCTGGGGTTACAGGAGTGAGCCACCGTCCCCGGCCCATGAAGTTTATCTTGATTCTTTTCAACCAAAACTCCATCAAGGAATAGTTCTTTTTTTTTAAAAAAAAAAAAAAAAAAAAAAAAGATGGGGTTTCACCATGTTGGTCAGGCTTGAACTCCCAACCTGAGGTGATCCACCCACCTTGGCCTCCAAAGTGCTTGAATTACAGGCGTGCGCCACCACGCCTGGACAAGGAAATATTTAAACCTGATGAATGTAAGTGATTTGTTATATGTTTACTTATATATTTCTTAATAATTTCTACTTTAAATACTTTTAAATTTTTGTTTTTTAAATGTGTGAATTATTTTAAGAACAAATACAGTTATGAGTAAGTGCCCATTTCTAACTTTTTCTTTGCAGTTATTTGGAGAAGTTCTGCCTTCATTTAGAGAAATTTGCTTTACTCCTGGACACCAGTTTGGTGTGAATGAATTTGACTTTCCTCTGAGTCTCACAAATAACCGTGGGAGGAAGCCACATAGACAGCTGAAAACGGCACTAGTTATGAAATTTTTAAAAAAGACCTTGGTCCCCAGTTTCACTTTTCAACTTGTTAACTTGTGATTTGTACAAGTTACTTAAACGTTTTAAAGGTGGCTGTCCTTATAGGTAAAATGGAGTAACACATACCTCTCAAGGTGACTGAAATTTAAGTAAAAGCATGAAGGTGAAGTCATTCAACAAGTAGACATTCAATTCATTCATTCCACAAATGTTTATTGAATGCTTTCTAGTTCCAAGCACTTGGACCAAAATAATCAAAATGAACAAAATAGATTAAAAAAAAATATGGCCTCATAAAGATAATTTCTATTAAACTGTATAAGTAAGTATGCTGTGTAATATATTATGAGTTGATAGAGTGATGTCAAAACAGTGGGCATGGCTGAGGGGTCGGGGGCTAAGGTAGGTCACTCTGAAAGGGGACATCTGAGCATACTGGAAGGTGCTGAAGAGGTGAGCCATGCAGCTATTTAAGGAAAAGCATTCCAGGCTGTTGGGACAGCCAGCACAAAGTCTCCAGGTAGAGGCTGGCCTGTCTCATTCCTGAGCAGCAGGGAGGCCATCGTGTCCTGCTGAGTGAGTTAGGGAGGATGACGGGGCAGGCGGGAAGAAGCGAGGGCTGGCGGGGCTGCCTGCCAGATCGAGCAGGACTTTGGATGCATCTGAGGGACTTGGGCGTTGGCTCTGAGTGAAATGGGGAGCCACTGCAGGGTGTGGATCTGATGTCCTTTTGAAAGGATTATTCTGGTGGGGAGGAGACTGCCGAACAAGGGCGGGGGCAGGGAGAACTGTTAGGAAGGATTGCAATCATCTAGACTCATCCAGACTGATGAGGTGAGGCGAGATCAGGTGAGAAGTGTCGGGTGCTGCATACATTGTGAATGGAGAGTCAACAGTGTCCTCACAGATGCTAGGTGGAGTTTGAGCGAAAGTGACCAGAGAAGACTGCAAAGATGTGGGCCTGTGGGGAAGGTGGATGGTTGCCAGTATTTGAGGGAAGGAAGACAGGTTGGGAATGAGAGGAAACTGGACTTCAGTGTTGGACTAGAATATTATTTTGCTTTTTGGTGAGGGGACGGCTTGAACCTTTAGCAGTTTTTAAAGTACAATTAGAAGCTTTTTTTTTTTTTTTTTTGAGACAGGGTCTCCCTCTGTCACCCAAGTTGGAGTGCAATGGCATGATCTCAGCTCACTGCAGCCAAAACTTCCCTAGGCTCAGGTGATCCTCCCATCTCAGCCTCCTGAGTAGCTGGGACTATAGGCACACACCTCCACACCCGCCCGATTTTTTAATTTCTTGTAGAGACAAGGTCTTACCATGTTGCCCAGGCTGGTCTTGAATTCCTGGGCTCAAATGATCCACCTGCCTTGGACTCCCAAAGTGCTGGCATTATAGGCGAGAGCCACCTCGCCTAACCAGAAACTGTCAATATAGAA